AGGCCACTCTTAATATTTATGCATGTGACCTTTGACCAATATCAAAACGAGGTCATACCCGCGTAATCAGCGAATCGTGATGGCGACGAAATCCGGAAGCGATCTGACGGCTGTCCCGTCTCTCACATTTTCCTTCGTGGAGACTTATATACAGATGAATAGCAGAAGTGCCGGGACTTCCCAACTGAACAAAGGCTTCAAATATTATAGTGAAGGGTTCATTTATAATTTGCGAAGTAAGTTTCATTCATCAATTTCCAATGTTGTAAATGGTACAGTAACGATCGCAATGGCTGTCAATGTCATTATGTCATTGCTGATTTATGATTGAAGAAGGCTTATTTTCCTCTTGACATGTTATCATATTGACTTCACCCTGAAAATTACGGGACATACGTTAATTATTATGAAGTGCAACTGAAAAGCTGTTTTTGAACTACTTTAACCTAAGTTCCATCATGTCAATAACCTAGGCCGTAACCGTCAGATAGTTATTAGATCTATGTAAAATTCAAATGATGTTATTTCGTGTAACATTATTCCCTTGTCTTGTATTTTTTTTCACCTGTAATCGGTTTTTTTGGCAGCATCATGTGATGACACATCTTGCGTAATAACAGCTCGTTGTTACCGTTCCATGAAGAAAAATGACTCGCCACACAATATAACTGTAAGTTGGGTTCATAGTATTGTCAAGAAAAAATATTATCAGTCTGATATCAGAATATATATATATATATATATATATATATATATATATATATAATATAGGAACACATATTTTGTAAAATATCTCATTTATGTTAAATTGTGATAGCCTAGTACATTCATTTCACTCAAGTACATGTACTATGAAATGCAGGTCACCTTAGAGAGCAGTCCAGTGGTTAAAGTGGTCAGCGCCAGCTGCAGCTGTGCCATAGGTCAGAGCCAGTGTTGTGGTCATGTGACAGGTATGTCATTAGCCTATTTCAATGAATAATAAGTAATGTCTGTATATATTAAACTGAGTATCTGATTTCATTGTTCCTGAAAATATGTTTTTCTTACACAGGTGTTTTATATCTGGTGGCCCACTATAAGCAGAGAGGAATGAAGTCCATCCCACAGGATATTGCCAAGACCTCCATGCCACAGACATGGCACATCCCTCGCCAGGACAAAATATCCGGTATGTCAGTACCAGAGATAAAGGTTTCTGGATACAAGAGTGATGGAGAGGACAGGACAGTGAAATCAACCCTTTACAACCCCATTAGGTCTACCCTTCCACCATTGGAACCATTTTTTTCATCCCTGAAGTTAAATCATCCTGATCTATCACTATTAACAACAGTTCCACAGACTGATGAGCCAGCACCACCTTTTGTAAGAACTAATTTTGGATTGTTTCCTAAGGGTAGTACCATCAGCCATCAGCAGAAATTATCTGGAAATTATCTGATAAACATTGTGGATGGATTTTATCCTGATTTACCCATTAGTGCTGAGCAGACAGGAGAGAACAACTACAGCAGTGTGCTGACAGAGAGTCAGACAACTCTGCTAGACTCACTCAGTGTCAGTCAGGATGAGGCTGTGGAGATAGAGAAGGCTACCAGACTCCAGGCGCAGGACAAGAAGTGGGTTCGTCTGAGACGTCACAGGGTCACAGCTTCCAAAATTTGAGAAATTTCAAAGCGTAAAAAAAGGTAAACAGAAAATAAACCTAATTAACATTAAGTTTTATGTCATTAATTTCATTAAAAGAAAATGTTGCACCCAAATCCATTACATTAAAAAAAATAATAATAAAATTTCAGAACCAGAGAAGTTTGCAGAAAGACTGAGATCTTCTTCTAGGACCGTCCTCACAGAGGCAATGAGAGAGGGCATTGCCAATGAGCCTTTTGCAGTAGAGGCATATGGGAAGGTAAACATTTCAGATTGATTAAATCATATGTGTAAATGGATCAACTGAATAAATGTACATGTGTATATGTAATTAACATTGAATGTTAATATTTTGGATTAAGGAGAGTAATCTCAACATACATAATAAATATAAAGAAGTGTACACATGTGCCTATATTTAAAATTGTATGTTGATATTTCAGCTAAAGGAGGGCAATGTGAATATATATCCCTGTGGGATTGTAATAAGTCCCAGAGCAGCATGGATGGCTGCTTCTCCAGACCGGAAGGTGCTAGACCCCAGCTCCAACCCTCCTTTTGGTCTACTGGAGGTGAAGTGTCCAGACCTGCGGAATAAGGACCTCTGTGATCTGCAGTACCTCAGCCTGAAGGACAATGGCCAGCTTGCTCTTAAGGCAACATGTAACTACTATCATCAGATCCAGATGCAACTGGCAATGACTGGTTTGAAATGGTGTGATTTCTTTGTCTGGTCTGAAAGGCAACACCATCTCGAGAGAATTGACTTTTGTCCTGAGAGCTGGCAAAGGGTGAAAGACAAGGCAGATAAATTCTTCTTTGATTACCTTCTTTCATAGTTTCTGTACTACTATGTTAGAAGTCATTTCTCTGATTATTTCAATTACCAAAAAAATCAGCAATATTCTTAACATCAAGCTAGATGAAATCATATCAAGTTTAATGCATTCAGAAAAATACAACAAGATCAACTTCTTTCATTGTTTAATTGATAAACATATAATGTGAGGTATATATTTCATATATACATCAAACATGTTCTCTGTTCATAACACTTTGTGTATTGTTATTAATCATTCAGAAACAAAACCATGCAATATTGATCTAGTTCACTGCTTATTAGAAATTCTGGCATTGTTTAAAGGGAGATACTCACAATTTCAGCATATCATAATTCTGAGCATTTTTACTTACTACCTGTGTATATTTCAAAACATTGATATCTATAAAAATGTAAAAGATCTGTGTATTAAAAAAATATACAGTCGATGAAATATTACAGATTTAGCTGTAATCACATTTATTAATTTATATTAACAAGTTTGTTTTGAGCATTTGTCATAAAACTTTTGTTACAGTAACATTTATTCAACAGAATCAATAATGACATCTTTTGACAATCTAACAATTTAAATGTAACTTTGTTACCACAACATAATCTTATCTGTAATACAGACAGACAGACAGACAGTATTTATTCAGTAAAGAGGCCCTCGCCCATAATACAATCAGACTGACATTGTGTTTAGTGGGTGCGCAATACAACTTTGCAGCTCTATGTCCTGGAGTTCAGTTTCTGTACATGGTATAAGTATAGGCCAACACTGTATATGACAGCATCATTTTTGCTTTGCAAAAGATTTACGACAGAGTAATGAGTAAGTGGTTCTTTAGTGAACTTTGTTATATATTTCTTTCTAGGTATATCATAGGTATTACAAATATATAGTACATGATATTCATTTTCTATATAATGCTGACCTCTGGTTTTACAAAAAGGACATAGCCCTTCGTTATATTCAATTCCATTATACCTGCCACATTCAACAGCCGTATTAAATTACTGCATCTAAACCTTGATATAGCAATTCTTATATGCACAGGGATATCACAACACAAATATTTTTTAACATTTAACAAAGTTTTGAACTCCTTGTAAAATATACATTTAGGAGATTCACTAATTGATGAGAACCAAGACTGTTTTAAGTTATCACCTAGCCTTAGCTTGAATAGATACACAGAATATTCCACATTTCCAATTTCTTGGCTTAGCCAAGCATAACCAAATCCATATTGAAACAGGATGTGTCTAACTTTGGTTACCCAGGTATTATAGCCTAAGCTATCTGGTGATCTGAACATGTAATACAAATTTGTATTTTGAAGTTTTCAGAAATTTATTTGATTTGAGTTTTTACTATGATCATAGTTTCATAATAGGTCCTGAATCTATTATAAACTCTGATGAAAACTAACAAACACTGTAAATAAATACTCTGTTATACCATTAGTGTCAATATGATGTATATATTATGTTCTCATAAAAATGCAATACAAATTTCATGCTAATCAACATTAAACCTCAATCAGTTTTCTTTCATTTCTTTTTTATCAAAGGTCCTTGAAAACTTGATGTAATGCATGCTACAGTCCACAACTGATTAATGCTGCCCAGTTCAGCAAGAGAGACTGTAGAATCAAACAGGTGATTCTCTTTAACCCTTCTGATCAGTCTTTCTACATGAATCCTAAGGGATGCAATGGACTGTGTCTCCCATACTTCACTAGGCGTGAACTGTCCAGAGGAATACAGAAATGGAGGAATGTTCAGACCAACACCTTTCTCACTCAGTATACTGGCAATAGTAAAACCCTTATCAGTCATAACACTGTCCCCAGGTTCCAGCAAATCTAGAATGCCAGACAGTTTAGTTATTTCAACATCTGACATGACACCTGTGTACAGATTGGATACAAAGGTAATAGCACCATTTGGGGCAATGCCAATCAGACCTTTCAGAGTGCAAGAGCTCTTGTAATGGGAGTAAAACATGGAATTTAACACCAAAGCTGAGGGAATTTGGATCCTGAGCTCAGTACAATCTAAAATGACTCTTGTAGATGGGTAAGTTATCTGAAATTCAGGAGGCATGTGTCTGTCTACTGTCACTCTGGAAGGCCAGATAGGAACTGATCCAAGAACAAAATAGAGAAAATTTGCCCAGGTGATAATTTTTCGACTAACAGTCGAAATATGGCAGTTAAAACGAACAGCAAGATCCTGTTCTGGTAAACCAAGCCTAAGGCGTACAAAAAACATGAACATTTCATCAATAAGGGCCATATTTCTTGGTCTACCTGCAAGAGAAATGGCATTTGAGCATGTATAATACATACTGCACATATTGGAGGCACTTGGTTTTACAAAGTCAAAAACTGTTTGAACAATTTATAGCTACGAAAAGATGTGTAGTACTGGATCATATCATCATTTCCAGCAAATCTTTCCAGTCCAAATCTCTCAAGGGTGAGCTGTTCTTTTAACAAATCTTTCTCCTCCTCAAGCTCTTGAATTCTTTTTAGAAGCACCTGTGAATCAAACAGACTGATATCTGTCTGGGTCTGAGCTGACAACTGGTGCTCACCTTCTGCATGAGGGTCACAATCTGACATGGAGTTTGCATTTTCAGGACTGAAAAATAAAGAATTTACTTTCAGTGGAAATCAAATGTTTGTATACTTCAACATTTATTCATTTCTAAATATTATGATGAGGTATGAGGGTCATCAGTGATTATGAATCCTTCATCTGAAATTTAATTAGATGGAAATACTTTAAATTAATGGATACCACAAAAAAGAAAGACATCTTTAGTTAAATAGCATTTGAACTGAAGTAGTGCTTACACATCTACCAATTTGTTTTTAACTCTTAAACTGACCTTTCCCATGAAATAACTTGTTTTGGCATCAGTGGATGACGGATGGCTGGTGCTTTTCTGGACTTCATATTTTCCAAGTTCCAAGGAAATATGGATGGCACAGATCCTTGCTTGAGGGTCTTCCTTACCGGTGTGTACTTGTAGTCCTCAGGCCGGAAATGCTTCGAGCAAACAACACTCTTCCTGGTGATCTAAATACAAGTGAAATTAAAATAAGTCTACTGTCATTATAGATTTTGAGCTCCAAGATTTAAAAAATATCTCTTTTTTTTTAATAGTTACAATAAATAGTTGTGTATATAAGTGATTCTATAATAATTCTTCCTGGGTCCATCTGCCATTGTTTCAAATAGGACCACGAAAGGCTAATGTATGCAATCGTCCTGGTAATTTAGTAACACGAAAGGATAGTTGAAAACAAATTTGACATGCAAAATGCTATCATGTAGTTGTTTGAGACAAAATATCTTTTTTGTCTTATAATCTGTTTGACAACTGCAGCTCCGATAATATATTCGTTGCTGTTTGGACGACTCAAATTCTCGAGATTTAATTTCGAAAATCCTGAATGAAAATTTTAACCTACCGTAAAGAAGGGTCCTTCGTCCCGACGAATGGCAATTATCCATCTCCTTCGCACATCTTCAGCCTTCGGAAATGTGTGAAACGAAAGTGAATTGTTGTATCTCGCATCAGATGTACACTGAGGTACAGAGCAGTGATCAGCTGCCATATTTGCGGGTATAACCTCGTTTTGGAATCGGTCAAAGGTCACATGCATAAATATTAAGAATCCGCTATCATTTCTCTATTTAAATTAAATTCGAGCTCTTTCACTGATTGTCTCTTGTACCAATGCGTTCGTTTTTGATTAAGTCATAGAAGAAATGAAACACTCTGAGAGGTAATACTTCCTTATACTCTCAGGTTATACCCGTATTAATCTTCATCTAGACAATCATATTCCAAGTCGAGCTTATAAATATACACATGTGTATCCTATTCTGGAAGTAGCCTAGCGGTTGTAGCGTTATTTCTTCATACTGACGACCCGGGTTCTCCACACTGTGGTAACGATAATTATAGGCATTGCCGCTTTGACTAGGGTAAAAGTGTCGTAAAATTATAGTCCCTCTCTTCAAAGTCTGACACAAACTGAACAGATGTGCGATAAAGCATGTGGTGATGATGGTGATGATGATGATGATGATTATAATGATGACGATGATGATGATGGTCATGATGATTATTATTGTTGATAATTCCTTCAGGTTCCTGTTCCACCAAACAATGGAACATGATCGCAGGTGTTTGTTGGAGTGTAACAGTCTCATCACTTAAATGAGCTGTGTGGAGCTTCTCTCTGTACGACTGTTTCGTTGAAAATTCAAGATCACATTCTCCAGGCAACCATGGTGTCCTCGAGTCGAGGTGTCAGCGTCACCTCCATCTAGTCTAGACACTACAATCTGGCGTCATGTCTGTGCGAACATTAAGTAGAGCCAGGACCTCAGAGAGAAGATAACACGCTCCGAGCTGCTTGGCTGTCAGCTCAGCTGGATAATGACGTTAATTTGAAGATCACTGATACAATAAGAACAAGAAGTGGTGGTTACCATGGTGATGTGATTGTCTTTTCCCCTCTTTTCTTCGCCTGCGGTTTATTTCTTATCAAAAACCATGAAACTGATATAAGTAATTGATGATTTCGACACGGTTGAACTTCATATAATATTCCCCAAGCTAAATCAGTCAAACTTTCTCAAATATAACGGAACAATCACTATAATTAGGTTACTGCTTACGCGTGTGTTTGTTCAGTGGTGGGCAACCGAACGTGCGTGTGTAACCAGTGTCGGAAGTTTCAGAGGTTGTTTTGTCACACATTAGCTACAGGCCATCAACAAACGACGTCAGATTAGTTCCTATCATTAACGATCTCTCCACCATTCGTGATAATGGTAAACGTCTTTATAACGCCAGACTGTCGGGGGTCTGCCATCCGCCGTAGGGTATGTCTGTATAAACACGCTCATTGACAGTCACTGGGGAAACTCGGCTTTACCGTAACAGTACATTAGATCAACAATCAATGCCTGTATGATCATTGAACAGCTTTCTCAATAGACTTCCCAATGTGGAACCTAAGTGTTTCAAGGAGTGTTCGATTCTTACATTCTTTGTTTCACACTCTGTTTGTTGTGGAGGTGATACTATTTTGACATCTGTTATTTCACCACACTGTGAATGCTTTTTTTTCTTTAAGGAATTGTACAACTGCACAGAAGCAAAGTATGCCATGAAAACGCAACTCGTTGTGCACTGTTGCGTCCCTTGTTCAGGACAGAATCCTGAGATCATTGTCCTGATAATGAATTTGGTTCATTGGCACCGTATCTGTTCTCTTGGGTTTCATTAAAGTGACAAACTTCACACATTAAGGAGGCTTCTAACGGCATCGGGTGGTCAGGCTCGATGACTTGGTTGGCATATGTCATCGCACCCCAGTTGCGTAGATTGATGCTCATGCTGTTGATCACTGGATTGTCTGGTCCAGACTCGATTATTTACAGACCGCCACCATACAGCTGGAATATTGAGGAGTGTGGCGTAAAACTAAACTCACTCACTCACTGACACTATTACATTGTTTCTGCCAAAATTCATACTTACTACCAATAATTAGTTGTCTGGAGTGTATTACTATCTAATGTAAGCAGTGGTGTGGAAGGCAGTATATTTTGATGTTGTATTTAAGTCAAGTCTGACCTTCTGGAACGCATTTAGATTTATTTATCTTTATACGGAACTTATGTACACAGAAGGTACGTACTCTATATAAGTGGGAAAGTGCATGCCTCTTGCATCCTACATTACATCGAGACGTGTGCACACGTGGTTGTGTGAAGATCAATAAATCTACTTCAGAGGCTTGTGCACAAGTACTGCGAGATGAAGATTGTTATCAGAACTTTCTAGCTAATATTACCACTGCTATTGTATTTAATACTGCCATGTAATTGTACCGTCATTGAATAAGTTGGTGCCGTTATTGTAATTGCTCTGCAGTGTTTCTTTTCATTTGTAAATCTAGCTGTGTAAACACAGCTGTTATTTTATTACATTTTAGTAGGGTTTCAA